AGGCTCCATTCATGGCCTTATAAAGGCTATGAGTCAACTGCAAAGAAAGGAGGCATTTCACAGAAACTGAAGTGTGACCCTTTGTTTTTCTTGACCCCAAGGTCCCCAGCGACACAAAAAGGGATCCCAGTGCTGATTCTGCAGGGACAAATGCCTGTTGTGAGTGAGTGTATTTGAGGAGCAGTGACAATAAGGAATGACCCGAGGTGCTTGTTTCCAGCCTTTGTTTCCCAAGGAACTGCCAAAGGGGGAGTCCTGCCTGCAGACTGACAGAGGTTGAGGGGATGAGGGTGCTGGGAATCTCTTCCCAGTGGAAGCATTTCCCTAGAAAGCCTGTCCTAAAATGCATGATCTGACTCTCCATGTTTACTATTGGAACACATGGACAGTGGGATTTTATTTTATTTTATTTTATTTTATTTTATTTTATTTTATTTTATTTTATTTTATTTTATTTTATTTTATTTTATTTTATTTTATTTTATTTTATTTTATTTTATTTTATTTTATTTTATTTTATTATTTTATTTTTATTCTATTTTATTCTATTTTAATTCAGTTCTGCAAAACCCATAGAAGTAAGTACAGGTCTTACTTAGCTGTTACATGAGGTGGGATTTTTCTAATTTAGGACTGGCAAGGGATTAGGGATGGCTTAGTAGCCTTCTCTTTATTCCAGTCTTCCATTAGCCGGTGACTACTTCCTTCCACAATCAAAGTAGACATGAAAGGGATCTTTTGTTTTGCACTTTTCATTATCCTGAAGTGTTGCAGGTCCCTCTGAAAATTCATGATGGAGTTAGGGTGCAGCATGATGGATTTAAAGGTATCATAAAACTCTTCCCGGTAAATAGTAGTCCCCAAATATATTCCAGTTGTGACCCGAGAGAGGCTGCTGGAGGCATCCCAAACCACCACACATTGGCTCTGTGGATCATTTGAGCTGAGGAAATGCATTTGCATATGGATGTCATGTTAAGGAGGCCAGCCAGCCCGGATTTCATTACTGCTAATGATGTGTGTGGGAGAAGTGGATTTAGTTTACAGGCAGTGCCAGGCGTGGCACAATGAGGAAGTACTTAATTCATACAAAGCTCTTTCTTGCTTCCAAGATCTAAAAATCAGGGGTTTCCAACAAACTCTGGGAGGCCCAGTATTAGATGATATGATCTCGTTATCACTGGGGGAAGAACAGACCTGTGATTGGGGTGAGGGAAAGGGGAAGAAGGAAGGAAGAAGGAACCCTAAGATTTAATATTAATGCTATGGAGGAAAGGATAGGAGGAAAAATAAAAGGTAATGAAGAGGAGAAGAGAAGAAAGAGCAACTGAGGATGGAAAAAACAGCAGGCAGAGCTGGCTCTGCAGGAATCATGGCTGCCAAGGCTGGACAATCAGACTTTGGAGGTGCCAGAATATTTACTCCAAGTCCTTGTCTTTGTCTGCCCAACTCAAAATGCAGGCATGTGCAGTGGGCCTGGGGCAAGACATCCAAGTTCAGAGACAAGAGAAGCTTTTGAGAACTGGAAAGAAGGGACCTGAGCATAATGCTGGAGATACAGCAACTGGGAGTTGCTGCACCGCCTGAATCATCTCATGGCATCTTCATACTCCAGCAGAGCCACCATTGCTTTTCCTGCCCTGGTAGGCACTGCCTCAGGCAAGGGGGAGCAGATGGGAGCCTGGGGGCACATTCTGGGTTTGTACATGGTGGACAAAGGAATTACTATGCTCAGGCAACTTCAGGAAGAGCTATTTGAACTGGGAGCAGTATCTTGGGTGGCCTCTCAGCTGCAAGTAATGAATCAGTCAAGCAGAAGAAAGCAGCCAGGGAGAAGGAAAGGGTGAATGAGAAGGAGTAAGTCAGAAGGATTAAAGACAAAGATAAGACAGCAAGAGTGAGAGAGAGCATGCTGTAACAGCATGGTGACATAGCAGCTCGGAGCATGCGTTGGGCCAGGATTCAAAGAGTTGAGAGGGCCTTGAAGAGGGGCCCAGTTTTGCAGTTTATGGGACTGAGACCTCTGGTCTCATATACATGCACAATATCATTGCACAGAGTAGCATGGAGGAAGGGCTGTGAGCTGCTCCCTGTTCTTTAGGCACGGGCTGTGGCTGTGTATCCATCTGTGGCTCATGGTATGAAAACCTGAAGAAAGATCTTTGAAGAGGAATTACTCCTGCCTTATTCATAGCACAGCAGCTGGTTTTAATGGATTTTAACTGTTTGGCTGCATTGCTCACAATGTGTGTAATCAAAAGGTTTATGAGCTGCTAAAACTCACTCCTGGAGCATTCTGGAAAGGCTGTCTTTGGAAATACAGGATTTTTTGGGTACCTTAATTTAAGCTATGTTGTTCTGTAATTTTCTGGAGAGGGAAATCAGCTGGTGAGTTGGATGGGGAGGATATGAGGGCCACTTCAATAATTAGTGAATGAGTAAACACAGTCCGAAGAGTTCCCTGACTCAAAGGCTATCGGACACTGACATTTAGCTGGGATTACTGAAAATTATTGTTTACTTGAGATTGCGGTTGCATTGAGACAAGTTGTGAGATGTCTTTAAAGAACAAAACCTAGTTTTAGCATTTGTGTGTCCCTGAGAAAATACTGAGAGTTGCTGAAGTGATGGCTTTTATATGCTGTTTTAGGACACCTGTATGCTGTTGACTATGCTTTACTATACTGTAGGAGGGCAGCATTTGGACTTCACCACCTAGAAGAAGTTAGAAAGATGATTTGGCATAAAAGAGGAAGCAGGAATCAGCTTAATTTGCAGAGGATCTGAAGAGCAAAGGTGGGACAGAACAAAGTGCAGTATTTCCTAGACATAGGAAAAAGGAGAAAAAGAGACTATGTCAATACATTATTGCTCAGTGGGGCTCTGCTGTCAGACTGAATTCTGCTGGGGATGGCTCATTTCTCCACAGTGACACCAGCAGGTTTCAAATAATGCTTGAGATTTTCCAGGTTTAGCAGATGAAGAAAAAGAATTACTTGGGAGGCAAACAGAACAGATTTGGAAATAGAGGAGTGTTCTATCGTCAGACTTGCAAACATTTGGCTCCTGCAGATGCCAGAAGACTGCATCTGCTTTAGTCAATGTAGGTTGATACTTTCTGATTATTTCTGAGATCCCCACGGTTCTAAAGGCAGTAATTTCATAGTATCTAGGACAAATTCACTGCTCAGCTTCACACAGAGGGCAACTCACCTGCAAATTCAAACTGCATCGCTTTGGTTTGGTAAGGAAGGCAAGTGAGAGCTGATGAACTGAGAAGACATTTACTAAGAATTCTTTGACTCCCCCTCCCAGGTATCTCAGCTGTCTTTCAGTTACATCTTCATTGAGATACAATCGGATCTCTTGTTTACAATGTCTTCTTTATATTTTGGCAACCAAATAGATATAGAAATATATATGATAGGAATTAAAGACTACTTTTTCAAGCAGGTTTAAAACTTACCTAGGAAATTACTGCATTATGCTCAGCCGAGCATAAATAAAGGCTGCAGAGTGGCAGAATCTCAATGTATTTGTAAGAAATCTGAAATGGCCTATTAATTGCTGTCTCAGGGGATACAGGTCTTCTGTGGTAGGAATCGCTTCAGCAGATGGGGTAAGATGTATTACATTTACTGTACCGGACAAGATGCAGTTTTTCTTTTTAATCCTTTTGCCCCTTTGTTGTATTTTTACAGCAGGAAGGTTCCTTTCAGATATGGAGGCACTTCACGACAAGTTGTATGGTAGAAGCAACTTTCAAGCGAAGCACATATAACAGTTGTCCTGAGAAGGTGTTCTGGCTCCACAAAGTCTGGTTTTTGGGTTTTATTTTTGAACTGTTATTGTTCTTTCATGTCTGTATTTAGGATCTGTTGGCCTCAAAATATTGTATGGTTGGGCTTGTAAAGAGCTGGCTTCTACAGACACCAGAAGACTGTTTCTGTGATCAAAAGAGACCAATTATTTCTTTGAGATCCTTGTGGTTCTATAGTTATATACTACCTACAACAAAGTCACCATTAGTAATATACTACCTTGGACAAAGTCAGTGTTCAGCTTCTCTCCACACAGAGGACAACTCACTTTTAGATTCAAGCAATAGCAAACAGCTGAAAGAAAAACAGATCAGCCTGGAAATGCTGAGCAGCTGGCGTAGAGGCCCTGTGGTGTCACCTTGATCACTTTAGTTGTCAGGGCAGTTAGACTGTGTCAAAGTGTAATGGGATTGGGTCTCCCTGTATCTTTATGCTGTCCCTATTGTAATGTATCTTCTTTAATAAGGGATCTTCTTTAAACAGTAGAGGCAAGGAGAGAGGGGAGAGGGCAGGCAAGCACTGTGTATAGCATCTGTAACATTTCATTATATGAGACAGGGATTTTCCAATATGCCTTGCAACACAAAGAACACTCAGATATCAGCATCTCAGAATATATTTTCTAAATCACAACGCCCACACATTTCCTTAGCCAAGTAGAAGTTTTCCTTCTATGGCTGCATATCTAAAATTAGCCTGAAGGTCAGATCTGAATAGAAATACCCTTGCCATTGAACGTGCTGGGAATGATTGGTGCAATGGGCTCAATTTTCTCATCGAAAGCCTTCATTTATTTTTTAAAATAAGTTGCCTTTACAATTAAAGAGCTTGGAGAATGGCAAAATGAGGCCTGCTGTATAAAATAATCATCAATGTTTGCTTTTACCACTATTGCCAACTCTTTTAACTGTAACAAGATGGATATAGTGAAGCCATAGTATAAAAGATGTAGCAAGAGGCTTCAGAATAGCTGAGCTGAGCATCAGCGTGTGAAAGAAAGGCCTCACAAGATGTTTGTATATGAAAGATAGACACACTGAAGAACTGTAAGTTAAGAAATGCATTATTGAGAAGAAATGAATACTGGAGGTCCAAAATAGTTGCTTAACCTGGAGTTGTATTATGTGAGAACTTTGCAGCCTCTACTGCACAAATGCAAAAGCACCACCTTGCAAGAAGTGCATTTATCAGCCACAGTGTTTTATTGAGTGCTTTAATAATACAAGTGTACATCAACTGATCCACAGTCAAAAGTGGCAGGTCCCTAAGAAATTTACAAGCACTTTTTTTTTTTAAGTAAATCAAAATACATATTAATTTGTTCAACGCAATAGCCTTTTGTGTGGGAAACAGAAGGCTAGTGATAAACACAGTCTTAGTAATGCACAGTGATTCTTGATTTTAAGCTTTTATACAAAACTTGTTCCCAGTAGCATGCACCCACCATTAAAGACTTCAGTACAAAAAAATAACCCTAAACACTACATTTAAGTAGAAACAAGATATAATTCTGAATTTGTTTGTTTTCCCCAAAACCACATGAAAGAAGAAAACCCCGCACATTAATACAAAGCTTTGTGACAAAGCTCTATACTATTACAGATCCAACATTCTTTGCACTGATAATCAAAATTCCCTGTCTACATTTGAGGGAAACAACGTTCAAGTTAACAGAACACAAAAAAACCCCAAACAAACCCAAAACAAATAAAAATAAAAATAAAACCAAAAAGAAAGTAAGGACAACCTTTTGTCACAAAATGGTTCAAAATTTAATAAAAAATAAGAATGAAGGGAAGGGCTATTGATGCACTTAGTGAATGTGCTTGCACAGGTCCAGCAAATCCTAGAGTAGGTTCCTATGTGGCATATCGCTTGGTCCACTGTCTGGCCATTCTGTCGTGCTCTGCTCTGTTAGTCATATACTGAGTAGCAATACTTCCAACCAGGGGGTCAGCTGAAAAGGAAACACAAACTATTAAATACATGTCAGCCTTGGAAGGGTGAAAAAGCTGTTCTTCAATCCAGATTCATTCAGTTCTCTCAGGCTTAACTGTAAGAACAAGGTGCCTACATCCATCAGTCGCATTTTGAAAGCACACATCGTGTAGGAAGAAAGGAAGAAGAAGATGAGGAGGGGATGGCTGGCAATTAGCTAGGCATGTCTGGTAAACATGTAACTTAAACCATTTTATGACATTCTGCCTCACAAACAAATGTTCCAATCATTTTATTTTGAGCTAAAAGTCAATTTCAGGTGACAAGAATACACATACTATATAATTTATCAATGATAAATCAATTTATAGTATTAGACTCCCACAAATATCTATACTCTCACCTAAGAAGAAGATGGGCTCAAATTATATTGTCAGGTTAAATGTTTCTTTGAATATTTTTCATTTTGAAGCATAGAGAAAGATGAGTAATTAGGGCAATAAGTATTATTTTAAAAGCAGCGGAAGTTCATTACACATTTTGTGAATTGGTATTTAAATTATGGGATCTTTCTGAGCATTTACATGGCTAAAATGATGCATGATTTAGTCTTCTGAAGCCACTTCTGTATTTTCAAAGTGAAGAAACAACCTGAAAAAGTATTTTTACATTAATCTGGATCTACAAATTACTTCACATATAAACAAAAACAAGCAGCCCTCTAAGAAAAATAAACCAAGACAAGACTTTCCCAGAAGGAATTGTATGCCATCACCATTTTTCTGTCCACAGTTTAAAATAAACAAAACGTAAAGAGATTTTCTCTCCTTTGGAGGGACCAATACTCTTGATTTTTCTCCTGCAACAGTAAATTTCCTGAGATTGTACCACCACACTGTGCAAGTTCAGAAGCACTGATACCATGTGTTTTCCTGACTTAGGACAGATAAACATGAGTTCTTATTAAAGCCAGTTAATAATCAGCTTTGTAGTTCACTGAAGATGGTGCCACTGAACAACATGAATCTTGGCTTCCCCAGTGCAGTCACAGTCTGAGTGTGGTATTTGCATTATTAATCCCTGAAATTCTGGGCACTAGATGTCAACCCTTCCACAAAGCAGAGAAAATCTGGGCTTTTTGGGGATTTTTTTGTTGACAATAAGAGTTTATCATAGGAGAAACGTGGGTTTAGCCAAAATTAAATTGATTTGCTTTCTGCCAACATTGCTGAGTGTTACTGAATAACATCTAATGAAAAAAATCTGCTGCTGCTTTCAGGAAAAGCCCATGATTTGACTCTTAAGTTTGAACCTACTAAATTAGTAAGGCAAGTTATCACTGTGACTGTGGTCTACCACACTGCAGTCCTTGCAGTCTCAATCTTGCAAACACTTAATGCATATCCTTGGCTTTAATATCTTAATTTATCCAGAGGAGGTCACTGATACCTGGGCTTTGCTATTTTTACATGCATGAGTGTCAAAGAAGCATATCTAAGATCCATTTTAAAAGTTTCAGACTAGAAAGTCTACCACTTTAACTTCTCAGCCAAGGAAAAGAACTACACAGGGGATTACTGGAAGGATTTTGTTCTGTGCAAACAGGAGGCTCAGTTTGCAGGTATTTAAGGACTGCAAAGCTGTTCATGGCTGGAATGAGGTTTGAGAAGAACTGCAGGGTAAATAGGGAACCTTGACCATAGGAAAGGACAAAATTTCCCTCAGCAAAAAGTTTAGGGAGTAGCCACAGGGAAACATCCCAGTGTAACATAGCTCAGGGATAAGCCTGACAGCACTGTTGCAAATTCCCACACTGTGAAGGACCAGGTATTTCCTTACACGAACATGAAATGTCCTTTGAGTCAGCCGACAAAACTGACTTAAAACGGTGTCTCCACACGGCAGGAAACCCCCTCTGTGTGTATGGGGGGGGGAGCAGCTGCTG